AAATTTCATACTTATAAATCAGTTATTTCAATTCAATTTCTCAACATTTATCCACATAAGTTCATACAACCATATCATAGAAATTCTCATATTTCATACAATCCAAACATAGCATAGCAATCATCATATATCATATTAATTCAGTAAATTCAACGAACGTTCATACAATACAATTAACATACAAATTAAATTAATAAGTTTTCCTTACCTCTGAGCGTGACCGAACGTTCCCAGAGGCAGAAATACGGTTCGCCCTACTACAAGGCCTTCTACTTTCAACGCTCAACAATTCTCCAAAACTAAACCAAACAAAAGACCAGAAATGGCTCAGAACGAGATGAACTTCTGCAACCAGAACTTGGGTTTGCATGTGCTAGAGAACGAACGTCTAAAGGAGAAGAAGAACTTACCAGTTCAGAACTCGAAACCGATCGGTTCAAACTGAAGCTCTTGACACCGGAAGTGCTTCTACGGTGCCTAAACGGAGATCGGAGAAGAAAAGGGTGAGATTTGGTAAAGAGAAGGGAGAGCTTTTAGTGAGAAGAAGGAGAAATGAGATTTTTAGAGTTTGGAAAAGAAGGGTGCATGCAGAGAGTGTGACGTGAATTTCTGAAAAATCAGTTTTGCTTCCCATGTCAAAACGAGCGTTAGCTCATCTGACGACACCTGTCTTCCACTATTTGATTTCTGGATCCTTTTCGCTTGACACCTAGCGTCCGTTCAGATGATTTTTGAATGCATTTTTAATGAGGTCTGACAATAGGTATATGTAATTAAGAATAATAAAATAAATATCTTTTATTACGTTGAAAATAATATAAGAAAAGTCAGTGTAAAAAAGTAGGAGTAATTTTAACTAAATCCTATTGATCTTAATAAGAAAAAAAACTAATATTTTTATAACTGTTTTATATTTTTATAAATATTCTATAAAAAAGAATCATGAAGAATAATCGTGGTATATTTTATTTTGGGATCTCCGAATGGGTGGATTAGTTTTGCTTTAATAATCGATGTGGGACCAGGACCAGTGTGCAAATATGGTAGCATGTGTATCCACGACAGTGCAGTGTTTTAATTGAGTGAAGAAATGACAGGAATACTAGGAAGGTCAAAAATACTGATTGTTCTCCAACATTTTCGAATTTTACACTGTCCATGTGAAGAAAGATGTACGGTTACTGACACACACATCATAAGAGTTTAAAGTTTTCATGTCTTGCTGAAAACTAACAGAAATAACAGTTGCTGAATTATGGAACTGCCGAATACTCCAACAAGTTTGATTTTTGGTGTTAATGGTGAGAGGTTTGAGCTCTCCCACGTGGACCCATCAACTACCTTGCTCCAGTTCTTGCGCACTCGCACTCGTTTTAAGAGTGTCAAACTCGGTTGTGGTGAAGGTATCTGTATCTATCTATGTATCTATATATATACATATATGGTTCTGTGTTCAGCAATCTTTCTTCTTTTGTTTTTCAATAGTTTAGTTGAAAGTTGTTATGCCCTTGTAGGATGCATGCTGTTTCAGTTTTTGGGCTTGTTTGTTTTTCCTTTCTGCTTTTAATTACCGCCACTTTAAGATGAAGAAACAATGGAAGACTTGTCAATATATAGATTAAAGTGTCAAATACCAGATTTCAAATTATATAAAATTGTATACTTGAGTTTTTATTATGCTTGAAATATATATACAAAGAATAACATAACAAGAGTTGTCTGAGTAGTTTCATCTACTCTGTTTGTTTATGAATTAGAGTGGCTTTTAGCAGTGCTCTGTGGTCTTTTCAATTTGGTACTTGATGTTTTGAAATGGTTGGTTTCAGGGGGATGTGGTGCTTGTGTAGTTTTAGTCTCAAGATACGATCCTGTGCTTGAACAAGTTGAGGATTTTACAGCAAGCTCTTGTCTCACGTTACTTTGCAGCATACATGGTTGTTCAATAACAACCAGTGAAGGAATTGGAAATTCTAAAGAAGGATTCCACCCAATTCATGAAAGATTTGCAGGATTCCATGCCACTCAATGTGGCTTTTGTACTCCTGGAATGTGTGTTTCCCTCTTTGGAACTCTTGTCAATGCTGAAAAGACCGATCGTGCAGAGCCACCAGATGGGTTCTCAAAAGTAACTGTTAGTGAGGCTGAGAAGGCTATTGCAGGGAATCTTTGTCGCTGCACTGGGTACAGACCAATTGCTGATGTCTGCAAAAGCTTTGCAGCTGATGTTGATATGGAGGATTTGGGGTTTAACTCGTTTTGGAAAAAGGGAGAGAACAGGGACTTAAAGGTTAGTAGGTTGCCTCGTTATGATCGTAATCAACTGAGTAGTACATTTCCTACGTTTTTGAAGGAAATCAAGCAAGATGTGTTCTTGGCTTCTGAGAAGCACAGTTGGCACCGACCTATTAGTCTAACAGAGCTTCAGAGTTTATTAAAATCAAACAATTCCAATGGAACACGGATAAAAACTGTAGTTAGTAATACAGGTATGGGATATTACAAAGATAAAGAAGACTATGATAAGTACATTGATCTAAGGGGAATTTCTGAGCTTTCAAAGATCAGAAAGGGCCGAACAGGGATTGAAATTGGAGCAGCAGTGACAATATCTAAAGCTATTGAAGTACTGAGGGAAGATATCAGAGGTGAGTTTCTCTCAGATTATGTAATGATACTTGAAAAGATTGCTGATCATATGAGCAAAGTTGCCTCAGGATTTATTAGGAACACAGCCAGTGTTGGTGGCAATTTAATCATGGCACAAAGGAATAATTTTCCTTCCGATATTGCTGTCATACTTCTTGCTGTTGATGCAATGGTTCACATTATGACTGGCACACAATTTGAGTGGCTGACACTGGAAGAATTTCTGGAAAGACCAGCGTTAGGTCTGGAAAGTGTGCTTTTAAGCATTAAAATTCCTAGTTTGGAACTCAATCAAAGTGAATCCTCAGAACCAAGAAGTAGATTCCTCTTTGAGACATACCGAGCTTCTCCAAGGCCGCTTGGAAATGCCCTTCCCTACTTAAATGCTGCTTTCATGGTTAAGGTGTCTCCATGCAAGGATTCTGGTGGAACTCTGATATATACTTGTAGGTTGTCTTTTGGTGTTTATGGGAGTAAACATGCAATCAGAGCCAAAAAAGTTGAAGAACTTTTTGCTGGAAAACTTTTAAGTGCTAGCGTTCTGTACGATGCTGTCAACTTGATTACAGCCACTATTATATCTCAAGATGATAACGTATTAACAGCTTATCGTTCAAGTTTGGCTGCTGGTTTTATTTTTCAGTTCTTTAACCCTCTTATTGACAGTCCTGAAAGAATAAGCAATAGTTATTTGAATGGAAGTTGTAATCATCCTTTTGCTGATGATTTTGAATTAAAAGTCAGTCAAAAGAAGGCACCTCATGACAAAGTTTCAACTTTACTAATATCTGGAAAGCAAGTCCTTGAAGCAGGCCGTGAGTATCATCCTGTTGGTAAGCCATTCGTGAAATCAGGAGCTGCACAACAAGCTTCAGGTGTGTTTTTATCATTAAGTCTTAAGTTGATTCACTGACTGCCGTCTTTTCTTTGCATTTCTATCAACGTTTCAGAGCAGTAAACTAAAATATTTTCATACGAAGTTGGTACCTTTTTGTATTAAATTCCATTTCCTAGAAAGTGAGCCTTAGTGCTATTATAAGATTGCAAGATTATGACCCTGGTGGTAAAATTTTATGGTCTCAGAAACAGCCTCTCTACTTATCATGGTTCTGAGCCTCTCTGGATCCTGTAAATGAATGAGACTCTGAAAATCACTAAGTTAAACATATAACTGTTTTCCATGCTCTTGGTTCTGATGAACTGTGTATCGATATTTTGCATCTTATAGTCTCTGTGTACCTTGTAAATATTGTCGAGATAACTATGTTAAAGGGTCCAATTTCCAGGTCATAAAAACTTGTTCCAAATGATTTTTGTTCTGACGAATTCTGCCTCCATATTTTGCATCCTGAAGTTTCTGGTTTCCTTCTAACTATGCTCAAAATTTCACTTTCATGGTCACAGATTAGTTTTTGTGTCTTATTTTCTCCTGTTTTGATGCCTGTGAATTATGACTTCTCATGTTTAATTGTTTAAATTAATTTATGTTCAGTAGCAATTACATATTTGTAAATAATCAAATATAGGTGAGGCTGTGTTTGTGGATGACATTCCATCACCATCAAATTGCTTACATGGAGCATACATTTATAGTGCTAAACCTTTAGCAAGGGTAAGGAGTATAAAACTCACGCCTGAGTTGCAACTGGATGGAGTAAGGGATATCATTTCAATTAAAGACATTCCCAATGGTGGGGAAAACATTGGATCCAAGACCATATTTGGGACCGAACCTCTATTTGCAGAAGAAAAAGCTAGATGTGTTGGTGATCGTCTTGCATTTGTGGTGAGTTTTTAATCCCTCGTTGTGATCCACAATGTATAAGCTTATTTTTCAATTCTTTGGAGCTTGATATGATAATACTACCATCTCAGTAACTAAATGGCTTCTTTAGGTTGCAGATACTCAGAAAGTTGCAGATATGGCTGCAAACTCGGCTGTTGTTGATTATGATACTGAAAATCTTGAGCCTCCTATTCTATCAGTTGAAGATGCTGTTGAAAGATCTAGCTTTTTTGAAGTTCCTCCATTTCTCGATCCAGAACATGTTGGTGATATATCAAAAGGAATGGCTGAAGCAGAGCACAAGATTCTTTCTGCTGAGGTACACTGCTATATGTTTATTGCTTTTATTTGTTTCCCTTATTCTCTCATTTCACAACTTTGTGCGCCCTGCTTTCCATACAATGTTTAAGCTTGCTCCTGAATATTTAATGTTTAAATGGTTATGCTGAGAAAACATTCATTGTTATCCATCTAATTTGATGTGAAATTCAGATGAAACTTGGGTCTCAATACTATTTCTATATGGAGACACAAACTGCACTTGCTGTTCCAGATGAAGACAATTGCATTACAGTTTACTCCTCAAGTCAATGCCCTGAGTCTGTTCATTCTACTATAGCAAGATGCCTAGGAATTCCTGAAAATAATGTTCGTGTAATTACAAGAAGGGTTGGGGGTGGTTTTGGTGGAAAGGCCTTGAAATCTATACCTGTAAGTATTTAGTTATGTTTTAATGTTCTGAAAATCTTATTCATTACTACATCTCTCTAACTTCTTTTTCATTATAATTTACCATTAAATATTGTTGAGTGTAGAGATGAAGCTTCAAATTTTCGTCGTTTGGAGAAGTTCCTAACAATTTTGCTTAGACATATTAGTATGTGCTCTTGCTGAAATTTCTGAAACTGTACAAAATGTTTCCTCCTATGTGTCATCATCTTTTAAAAGATTTAAATTAGATGCTTCTTTCAATTTGGCTATATCCAGTATATGTTGTATGATATAATTGTTAACAATTAGAATAAATTTTTTTTGTAGTTCTGTGAATCTATTTCCTTGTTGCTTCAAAATATTATCTGCTTTATCTACCCTGTCCTGTCCACACGATTGCAGAAAAGATTCACCAACAGAGAAGTTAAATATGAAAATTATACGTATGCATGCATGTGTGTTTATAATACTAACAGTTTGATCTTGCAGATTGCCACATCATGTGCACTGGCAGCACATAAATTACAGCGTCCAGTTAGGATGTATCTAAGTCGAAAGACAGACATGATAATGGCTGGAGGAAGGCATCCTATGAAGGTAACATACAGTGTTGGATTTAGGAATGATGGTAAGATTACTGCACTGGAACTTCAGATTTTGATCAATGCTGGAATCTATGTGGATGTAAGTGCAATTTATCCACATAATTTAGTTTTTGCACTTAAAAAGTACAACTGGGGTGCACTAGCTTTTGATATAAAGGTTTGCAGAACAAATCATCCCAGTAGATCCGCTATGAGGGGTCCTGGGGAGGTGCAGGGATCATTTATTGCTGAAGCTATTTTAGAAAATGTTGCAGCTACACTTTCAATGGGTGTAGATTCTGTCAGAAGCATTAATCTTCATACGCACAAAAGCCTTCAGTTTTTCTATGAGAACTCTAGTGGTGAACCTTATGAGTATACCTTGCCTTCAATATGGAGTAAGATAGAGGTTTCTTCAAACTATGAGCAGAGAACCAAAATGGTGAAAGAGTTTAACAGGATTAACAGTTGGAAGAAAAGGGGAATTTCTCGAGTGCCGGTTGTGATTCAAGTGACTCTGAGACCAACCCCTGGAAAAGTAAGTATTTTTTCAGATGGGTCTGTGGTTGTTGAAGTTGGAGGAATTGAAATAGGTCAAGGTCTTTGGACAAAGGTGAAACAGATGGCTGCATATGGTCTGAGTGCAGTTCAATGTGAAGGAACTGAAGGGCTTTTTGATAAAGTACGAGTTGTACAATCTGATACTGTGAGCATGATTCAAGGAGGCTTCACTGCTGGGAGCACTACATCAGAGGCAAGTTGCGAAGCAGTTAGGCTTAGCTGCAACATCTTGGTGGAGAGGCTAAAGCCTCTCAAAGAAAAACTGCAGGAGGAAATGGGCTCTATCAACTGGGAGACCCTTATTCTTCAGGTAGCTACTATAAATAAAGTACAAGATCTCATTTTTGAACATTCATAGATTTTTCTTAGTTATCTTCATGAATATGGGAGGAAGTTCTCCGAAGATAAAACCAGTTCTCTTCATAATCATGTTGTAACATGAAGCAAGTGGCATTTTAACAGTTTTCTCTATTTATGATCCATATGTGGAGACTACTCATGATTGAATTTCGCTAATGACAATTTATTAACTTACAGGCATACATGCGAGCTGTGAACTTATCAGCCTCTTCGTTGTACACACCCGGTAATGACGGTTACCTTAATTACGGTGCTGCAGTAAGTGAGGTAAGTTGTCTTTTTTCCTATGCATATCTCATATCTAAATGGTATTTTCTTGAGTCCACTGGTAGTTACTACTTTTCTAGAATGTTAAGTATTTGTGTCATATTTAGACACAAACCAAGTTACTGAGTGCCATGTTTAATAATGGAATTTTTTTGTCAGGTGGAAATAGATCTTCTGAATGGAGAAACCAGATTTTTGCAAACAGATATTATTTATGATTNCATACTTCTTGCTGTTGATGCAATGGTTCACATTATGACTGGCACACAATTTGAGTGGCTGACACTGGAAGAATTTCTGGAAAGACCAGCGTTAGGTATGGAAAGAGTGCTTTTAAGCATTAAAATTCCTAGTTTGGAACTCAATCAAAGTGAATCCTCAGAACCAAGAAGTAGATTCCTCTTTGAGACATACCGAGCTTCTCCAAGGCCGCTTGGAAATGCCCTTCCCTACTTAAATGCAGCTTTCATGGTTAAGGTGTCTCCATGCAAGGATTCTGGTGGAACTCTGATAAATACTTGTAGGTTGTCTTTTGGTGTTTATGGGAGTAAACATGCAATCAGAGCCAAAAAAGTTGAAGAACTTTTTGCTGGAAAACTTTTAAGTGCTAGCGTTCTGTACGATGCTGTCAACTTGATTACAGCCACTATTATATCTCAAGATGATAACGTATTAACAGCTTATCGTTCAAGTTTAGCTGCTGGTTTTATTTTTCAGTTCTTTAACCCTCTTATTGACAGTCCTGAAAGAATAAGCAATAGTTATTTGAATGGAAGTTGTAATCATCCTTTTGCTGATGATTTTGAATTAAAAGTCAGTCAAAAGAAGGCACCTCATGACAAAGTTTCAACTTTACTAATATCTGGAAAGCAAGTCCTTGAAGCAGGCCGTGAGTATCATCCTGTTGGTAAGCCATTCGTGAAATCAGGAGCTGCACAACAAGCTTCAGGTGTGTTTTTATCATTAAGTCTTAAGTTGATTCACTGACTGCCGTCTTTTCTTTGCATTTCTATCAACGTTTCAGAGCAGTAAACTAAAATATTTTCATACGAAGTTGGTACCTTTTTGTATTAAATTCCATTTCCTAGAAAGTGAGCCTTAGTGCTATTATAAGATTGCAAGATTATGACCCTGGTGGTAAAATTTTATGGTCTCAGAAACAGCCTCTCTACTTATCATGGTTCTGAGCCTCTCTGGATCCTGTAAATGAATGAGACTCTGAAAATCACTAAGTTAAACATATAACTGTTTTCCATGCTCTTGGTTCTGATGAACTGTGTATCGATATTTTGCATCTTATAGTCTCTGTGTACCTTGTAAATATTGTCGAGATAACTATGTTAAAGGGTCCAATTTCCAGGTCATAAAAACTTGTTCCAAATGATTTTTGTTCTGACGAATTCTGCCTCCATATTTTGCATCCTGAAGTTTCTGGTTTCCTTCTAACTATGCTCAAAATTTCACTTTCATGGTCACAGATTAGTTTTTGTGTCTTATTTTCTCCTGTTTTGATGCCTGTGAATTATGACTTCTCATGTTTAATTGTTTAAATTAATTTATGTTCAGTAGCAATTACATATTTGTAAATAATCAAATATAGGTGAGGCTGTGTTTGTGGATGACATTCCATCACCATCAAATTGCTTACATGGAGCATAAATTTATAGTGCTAAACCTTTAGCAAGGGTAAGGAGTATAAAACTCACCCCTGAGTTGCAACTGGATAGAGTAAGGGATGTCATTTCAAGTAAAGACATTCCCAATGGTGGGGAAAACATTGGATCCAAGACCATATTTGGGACCGAACCTCTATTTGCAGAAGAAAAAGCTAGATGTGTTGGTGATCGTCTTGCATTTGTGGTGAGTTTTTAATCCCTCGTTGTGATCCACAATGTATAAGCTTATTTTTCAATTCTTTGGAGCTTGATATGATAATACTACCATCTCAGTAACTAAATGGCTTCTTTAGGTTGCAGATACTCAGAAAGTTGCAGATATGGCTGCAAACTCAGCTGTTGTTGATTATGATACTGAAAATCTTGAGCCTCCTATTCTATCAGTTGAAGATGCTGTTGAAAGATCTAGCTTTTTTGAAGTTCCTCCATTTCTCGATCCAGAACATGTTGGTGATATATCAAAAGGAATGGCTGAAGCAGAGCACAAGATTCTTTCTGCTGAGGTACACTGCTATATGTTTATTGCTTTTATTTGTTTCCCTTATTCTCTCATTTCACAACTTTGTGCGCCCTGCTTTCCATACAATGTTTAAGCTTGCTCCTGAATATTTAATGTTTAAATGGTTATGCTGAGAAAACATTCATTGTTATCCATCAAATTTGATGTGAAATTCAGATGAAACTTGGGTCTCAATACTATTTCTATATGGAGACACAAACTGCACTTGCTGTTCCAGATGAAGACAATTGCATTACGGTTTACTCTTCAAACCAATGCCCCGAGAGTACGCATTCTATTATAGCAAGATGCCTAGGCATTCCAGAAAGTAATGTTCGTGTAATTACAAGAAGGGTTGGGGGTGGTTTTGGTGGAAAGGCCTTGAAATCTATACCTGTAAGTATTTAGTTATGTTTTAATGTTCTGAAAATCTTATTCATTACTACATCTCTCTAACTTCTTTTTCATTATAATTTACCATTAAATATTGTTGAGTGTAGAGATGAAGCTTCAAATTTTCGTCGTTTGGAGAAGTTCCTAACAATTTTGCTTAGACATATTAGTATGTGCTCTTGCTGAAATTTCTGAAACTGTACAAAATGTTTCCTCCTATGTGTCATCATCTTTTAAAAGATTTAAATTAGATGCTTCTTTCAATTTGACTATATCCAGTATATGTTGTATGATATAATTGTTAACAATTAGAATAAATTTTTTTTGTAGTTCTGTGAATCTATTTCCTTGTTGCTTCAAAATATTATCTGCTTTATCTACCCTGTCCTGTCCACACGATTGCAGAAAAGATTCACCAACAGAGAAGTTAAATATGAAAATTATACGTATGCATGCATGTGTGTTTATAATACTAACAGTTTGATCTTGCAGATTGCCACATCATGTGCACTGGCAGCACATAAATTACAGCGTCCAGTTAGGATGTATCTAAGTCGAAAGACAGACATGATAATGGCTGGAGGAAGGCATCCTATGAAGGTAACATACAGTGTTGGATTTAGGAATGATGGTAAGATTACTGCACTGGAACTTCAGATTTTGATCAATGCTGGAATCTATGTGGATGTAAGTGCAATTTATCCACATAATTTAGTTTTTGCACTTAAAAAGTACAACTGGGGTGCACTAGCTTTTGATATAAAGGTTTGCAGAACAAATCATCCCAGTAGATCCGCTATGAGGGGTCCTGGGGAGGTGCAGGGATCATTTATTGCTGAAGCTATTTTAGAAAATGTTGCAGCTACACTTTCAATGGGTGTAGATTCTGTCAGAAGCATTAATCTTCATACGCACAAAAGCCTTCAGTTTTTCTATGAGAACTCTAGTGGTGAACCTTATGAGTATACCTTGCCTTCAATATGGAGTAAGATAGAGGTTTCTTCAAACTATGAGCAGAGAACCAAAATGGTGAAAGAGTTTAACAGGATTAACAGTTGGAAGAAAAGGGGAATTTCTCGAGTGCCGGTTGTGATTCAAGTGACTCTGAGACCAACCCCTGGAAAAGTAAGTATTTTTTCAGATGGGTCTGTGGTTGTTGAAGTTGGAGGAATTGAAATAGGTCAAGGTCTTTGGACAAAGGTGAAACAGATGGCTGCATATGGACTAAGTGCAGTTCAATGTGAAGGAACTGAAGGGATTTTTGATAAAGTACGAGTTGTACAATCTGATACTGTGAGCATGATTCAAGGAGGCTTCACTGCTGGGAGCACTACATCAGAGGCAAGTTGCGAAGCAGTTAGGCTTAGCTGCAACATCTTGGTGGAGAGGCTAAAGCCTCTCAAAGAAAAACTGCAGGAGGAAATGGGCTCTATCAACTGGGAGACCCTTATTCTTCAGGTAGCTACTATAAATAAAGTAAAAGATCTCATTTTTGAACATTCATAGATTTTTCTTAGTTATCTTCATGAATATGGGAGGAAGTTCTCCGAAGATAAAACCAGTTCTCTTCATAATCATGTTGTAACATGAAGCAAGTGGCATTTTAACAGTTTTCTCTATTTATGATCCATATGTGGAGACTACTCATGATTGAATTTCGCTAATGACAATTTATTAACTTACAGGCATACATGCGAGCTGTGAACTTATCAGCCTCTTCGTTGTACACACCCGGTAATGACGGTTACCTTAATTACGGTGCTGCAGTAAGTGAGGTAAGTTGTCTTTTTTCCTATGCATATCTCATATCTAAATGGTATTTTCTTGAGTCCACTGGTAGTTACTACTTTTCTAGAATGTTAAGTATTTGTGTCATATTTAGACACAAACCAAGTTACTGAGTGCCATGTTTAATAATGGAATTTTTTTGTCAGGTGGAAATAGATCTTCTGAATGGAGAAACCAGATTTTTGCAAACAGATATTATTTATGATTGTGGACAGAGTCTAAACCCTGCTGTGGATTTAGGACAGGTAAGTTGACTACATACTCGTTATAACAAATTAAATCAAAATTTATTAACACATTAAATTTTAGAGACTAAAATATATTTAACCTTAAATTAAATTCAATATTCTAAGAGGGAAAAACTAGAATCAACTCGTGTTCACTTTGCAAAATAGGCTCTGAGTTTGTTAACAACCAATGCAAGAGGTTGAGGAGCCTTGTTAGTAACCAAAGATGATTCAGTTCCTTATGCTAAAAATATCTTGCCAAGAACCAACTCAACCGAAAACCTGAGTTATTAGATGGAGGTCCTATAAAATTTTTGTGGTCTCTTACAAGTTACAGTTATTTAACTAAGAATGTTTATCCTTCTTAACAAACACTTTTTCCCTGCAGATCGAAGGAGCTTTTGTCCAGGGCTTAGGATTTTTCATGCTTGAAGAGTACGAAACAAACCTCGATGGTTTGGTGTTGCAAGACAGCACTTGGAACTACAAAATTCCTACTGTGGACACTATACCTATGCAGTTTAATGTTCAAGTCCTCAACAGTGGCCACCACCAGCATCGTGTTCTCTCTTCCAAAGGTATGACAGAAAAAAGAAGAAGAAAAAACTCTTCTTGCATTGGTCTTATTTATTGTTCCTCTTGAATTCACGTCATTCCTGCATGAAAAGGAAAGTTTTCTGATATTCTGTCATTGAGTCATTATTCTAGCAGCTACATTCCAAAATCTAGGAATGAAGACAGAAAATGTGTTAACCATATATTTTGTAGTGCAAACTTACAGATTCATGTATTACACGTCTATAGCAGATTTTTAAAAGTAAACAGTTTGGTATCAATGCATGAGATTTGAAGTAATACTGAGTTCATTTCATCTGCATATAGATCTGCAGCAAAAAAAAAATAGAGATTGATGTTGCAGCCCATGTTGTTATTTGAATAATAAGGGATATCCAAGTGACAATGATATCACTGTAAGATGAGATTAAGTGTTTTGCCACTTGAACCGTGGCTTAGTGAGATGGTTATCATCCCTTGAAGACTTTGGTATTTACAGCAGAAATGACTCTGGCGAAGAAGGGTAATGAGAGAGAGAGGGCAGAGCCGAGATTTTGAAATGCGGTAAGGATATGTTATTCAGGTTGGTCACCTTGTTCAGCACAAATTTTTGGAAGAAAGAGTTTGTGGGGAGTGGTTTTTGAGTACCGAAGGGTTGAGGGAGAGAATTGAAGAGGGGATCAGGAAGAACAGTGGATTGTGTTTCTGTGAAGATATTAAATGGTTTTTGTTTTTGCTGACCATTGCGGCTCTGAAGATGGGTGGAACTGTGTTTGGGTTGTGGTTTTGGCTATAATGATGCTTGAACATGGTGGGGATGTTATATATGGGTTTGGAGAGCATGAGTGAATCATTGTTCCTTATAGTTGGTGTGGTTTTCCATTATTGGCGGCTACTCTATCAACGACCTGGTTTAATTATTCAAGTCTTCTGAGTAGTGAAGTGGGGTTTGGATTTTGGATTTTGGGGATAGTTTTACCATAGTTTAAAATTGATTTTGTGCACTTCTTTGTTGGTCAGTTGAGGTTGCAATGTTATCTTGGTGTGTGATGATGATGTTTAGAGAGGACACTGATTCTAATTTTGAGATTAATTGTTGAAAGGGTGTGAGTAAAAGAGTAATTGGAATGGATTGATTCCAGGAAAGTGAAACCTTGGGAAGAAAGATGAGTGATGTGACCTTTGCAAGAAACGAAGATAGAAGTTGCCTCATGAACATACCAAAATTCAGATGAAAAAAATGAAAGAAAAATTACCTCACATAAACTTCAGATTTATGTGCACACAGTTGGACAATTTGAGAACCAGTGTGTGTGTGACCAGTGTTTTATAACACATCCTAATCTGAACTACATGATCATAATTGCCTATGTTTAATTATTTGCTGGCCCAACCCAAAAAGTTATTATTGGAAGAAGTCTTAATCCTTTTTTTTTAATTTATTTAAATTTAATTTGGATCCCATCCCATCTATTTATTTATTTTATTAGAGTACTCGACCTAACATATCTAATCAGAATTTATTAATTTAAAATATTATTTATTAATCAAATAATCCAAAATAAGATATTGAATTTTAAGAATTAAAATTAAAATCAATAGTTCTTGTAATCATACTCGTATCCTTTTATTATTATAATTTAATTTGTGAATTTCGTTGTTTTCATAAACAAAACCAAAAATGTTAGGCAATCAATGTTTTAAATGGTGTAGAAAAATACTACCGCTTAACTCACGAAAGTATAACTAAATTGTTTAAAAATAATGGAGTAATTGTATATGTTATTTTTAGAAATTGGATAATTGACTTAAAATTTTCAGTTCAAGAATAAGTTATACATGGAGTCCTAACCATTTCTAAATTGAAATAGTTGTCACAGATTGACTTTTTTATAAAATTCAATAAAAGTGAAGTCGTCATAAGTCTTATGGACTTCTTTGTAAATTTTTTAAATCAAAGACATTAGGAATGGTAATGACTTTAAATTTATATTTTAATTAAATTAAAGTTATTTTCACTCATGACAACTTAAGTTGTGCATAATTTTTTAAACTAAAGTCATGGTCAATGATAAGACATGCAAATACGCAATCAATGAGATGCATAGATAGATTAGAAAGCTTGGTAGAGTGTGGGAATGTCTTGCCGACCTCACAAACAACGGTACTTCACCTGTCGTATCGAGTTATCCCTGATACTCATCTTCTTTTGAGAATTCTTCTGGCTAGTCCTCTTCTTGTCAAGATTCTCCCCTTACTTATGCTCTACATCCTTCATCCGACTGGATGCTATCTGTCACATCTTAGCAACTGCCATGACGTTCCTCCTTCAAAAAATGTGCATAATTGAAGTCTTCATGAGTGAGGATGACTTTAGTTCAATTGAAATATAAATTTAAAGTCGTTATCACTCATAATGACTTTGATTCAAAAAAATTACAAAGAAATTACTAAGACTCATGGCGACTTCACGTTTTCTTTTCTAAATTTTATAAAAATGGATGAAAGGAGTCGTCCTCCACTCATTCTTGGAGGTGTACGAAGAAAATTGTACATTTTTTTTCTTATGAGATTTTCCTAGAAACGTAAACTTTGAAAAACCAACACACCTCTTTATTGCATATTTACCTATAAACTAATAGTTACCGGCTCAACGAACACTATAAGTGGTACAATAGCTTTCCCACTGATGCGCATAATTTCACTTTGATTTGTCGGGCCATTAGGATTTTGATTTGCGACTCCAATATTGATCTTCTTATCTTCCTGAGTTTTTTTGCTTCAACTTGTCCCCTCAAAAATACATATGCTTGGGAAGAAGGTTTATCTTGTTCTCCCTCTGTTTTTGTTTGTCCCTGATAAAGGTTGCACTTTTCCTGTTGATAATGGTCAAAGCTTCCAATTCCCTATTGGTCCGAGAACTTGTGTTTCCTAACCCTATTGACCCTCCATTTGCTTCCAAAAATTAATGCTCCTAGATTTTAGACTTTAGAGGAAATGACTATGTTTTCAAATCATGTTTGGTATTGGACCCGGACCAATTTCCAGTGAATTGTGAAGTTTTATAAGACGCCCTCACAAATTGTTTAGGTTACAGGTGTACTTAAGAGTGAACACTGTAAACATAATCTTAGAGGGCTTGATTGAGCCCTCTCAAATCTTTCTATTTATCATAATAAATTGAATACACACAGTAACATTGATACTAGGGTAAACCCTTTAACGACACTATAATGATGATAAATATAGGATAAATATCCTGACACTCCCATCAAGCTGGAGCGATCACAACATTGTAATGTAACCACCTTGGAACAAATTACTCAATCCGAGGACCCCTCTTAATGACTTTGGTCCAAATGACATCTGCGATTTGATCGTTTGACCCAATAAACCCTCAAAGTACAATATTTCCTTTGGTCAACCACTTTTTCCCAACGAACAAAATGACAATCAGTTCTATATGTTAGTCTTCTCGTGAAACCTAGGATTTTGAATGTCCATGTAGGAAGAGACATCTTGATGTCGCAATCCAGCTTCATATATGGTATGTCACAAAAATTTACCTCTTGAAGGAATTGGTTTTCACCCATATACCTTCACATTTAGTGAGGCCAATTGCCCGCATACTCGGCTTCCTCCGCGGTATGACTCGAGTGCTATCCTAGCATTCCTGTTCCTTACTTTTCCACTGAAATAATGTTTGCCTCCCCAGA